TTGGTTTTCTCGGGGCCAGTATCTTAAGGCCTGCTCTCAGCGGGTAGTTCGACTCGATGAGCTTACTCGTCGACACATTGTAACCCCCAGCAATGATGAGTGGCTGTCGTACAGCGTCCTGGATCATTGCAACCCCTGCTAAGAGCTCTAAGTTATACTGGTTGAGGCCCACCCCGTCGGCCAAGTAAAGTGAAACAAGTACGACTGGACGATGTCCAGGAAGCTCAAGTGAAACTGCTGTGCGCCGTGACTCTACCGCCCCTGCAGGCAACGGCGCTCGTGATACCCTATAGTCGTGCCCATCGCGAATCAAAATCCCTGTTCCTTGGACAGGGTACCCTTTCTCACTGAGCACGGCTGGAGAGAGTATCGCGTTCCACCCTCTCGCTCACGCCACTGTGCGATGAACGGGAGCGCATCCTTCAATACCCGAAGTTCTTGACCGCAGATGATGTCCACCGTCTCGGCTGCTTGAGACCCCAGAAACTTCCGAATAGATCTCCAGCAGCTTCCATTGACAGTGGCGAACCTGACCGTGTTACCCACACGGCGCCCCGTCCGTCCCCTTGCCGCCCTTGCCTTTGTTGGCCAGGCAGAGCGCCTTCGCGCTGGACTGGAGCGCCGCGTTGGCCATCTGGTGCTGGGGCGTGGACGTCGAGTTCTGGCCGTTGATGTTCAGCACCTGGTCGATCGCCTCGCCTGCGCGCTTCATGCCCTGGCTCCTCTTGTCTGCCTCGTCGTGGTCCAGCTGCATGGCCTCGGCCTCGACGTCCAGGCTGGCTGCCAGCTCGGGGCTGACATCTCCTGATGGAGTGGCGGTGGCCTGCGACGGCGCCCTCGGGTCGGCGTCGGCTGCGATTGGGACCGCGGTCCCCGCCTCGGTACCCGTCTGGGAGTCCGCCGCCCCCTGGGTCGCCGTCTGGGCCTGCTGGGAGCTAGCCTGGGTTGCCTGGGCTGCCTGCCACTCGTCGTTAAGCTTTGCCGACAACTGAACGACGGCCTGCTTCACCTCCGCGGACGGCGCGAGCCCAGGTGGGAACTGGCTGTTGATGTAAGTCCTCCAGCGATGGGGCCGAGGTGCTGACGTGCTCCTTCAACGCCTGCTCCACTGCCATTTTGTGCTGGGTCTCCAACTGCTGCGTCTCCGCTGACAGGTCGGCGACGATCTTGCACTGGTTGGTATAGTCGTTGACCAAGGTGACCATGGCCTCACACGTTTTGTCGCGTGTTTGCTGGGCACTGAGCAGCTTCTTCTTTGCGACTTCGAGCTGGTCAGGCAGCGACTTCCGCTGCTGGTCCCATGGTTTTGCTGCTAGTGGCGATGCTTTCACTGCTTTCAACTCCTCCACGGCCTGCAGGTAGTGACTCCCTTCGATGCCTTCCATTTTCTTCCAGAACCGCACAGCTGCCGCACACGCAGCAACTGGGTCGCGATCTGGCTCATCGGGTTCACGTACTGCTGCAGCTCCTTTTTGGTGACACTTCGGCGCTGGGCTGGACGAGCGCCTGCGCCACCTGTTGGGGGGTGCCGCCTGATGTGGTCTGTGACTGAGGGGACGGGCCAGGTTGTCCTGTCTTTCGTCCGATGAAGGCTAAGCCGCACTGACCACAATACTTGAACGGCTTGTCCGCCCATGTCCATCCTTTGCATCCACCAGATGGGCAGCAGAGGTACTTGCGTCCGTCTCCTCTGCCTCGGCTTTGCGGTCGCTGGCCGCCCATGTCTGATGGAACGAGGTAGGCCCCAGGTTTGGCAGCTGACCTGGGGTGAGAGACTGGTTGGCGAGAAAGCAGGCGCCACCTGCCTACGGTAGGCTGATAAGATGGAAGCAGGCGCCATCTGCCCACGGTAGGCTTGTGCCAGAACGGCTTGAGCCAGGCGGAGGAGGAATAGGAGGAGGAGGAGGAGGAGGAGGAGGAGGAGGAGGAGGAGGAGGAGGAGGAGGAGGAGGAGGAGGAGGAGGAGGAGGAGGAGAGGAGGAGGAGGAGGAGGAGGAGGAGGGAGGGAGAAAGTGAGGAGGAAGAGGCGGATGCCTATTGGGAATTCGCGGGGCGTCCCATTCTCGCTACGCGATTCGCAGCGCCGACGAAAAGAAAATACACGCTGGCAAGAAAAAACGTCGACGTTGCTGTGCTTTTGACCGGTGGGACGGGGTGTCCCGCGTAGGGTTGGCCAGGCGTCCGCGCGCGATGTGCGCCGCGTCCCATTCTTGCTACACTTTTCGCAGCGTCGACGACAACAGAGTCCCGTGTTGACGAGAAAAACGTTGATTTGGTTTTGTTTTTGGATGGGTGGGACGCGACCACCCGTTTAGGCTTATCCAGGCGCAATTCATTCCGTCATATTTTTGTTACAGTTTTCGCATTTCTGCGACATGCTGGCGAGAAACAAGTTGAGTTTGTATTGTTTTTTTTGATAGTAATGTGACGGCGGGGTTGTTATCGGCCGGCTAGGTTGGGATGTGGGGGTGTTTAATCATAGGAAGTAAGGATCAACCCCTCCCCGAAGGGGAAGAGGGAGGGGTGGAAGAGGAAACGCCTTAGACCACCTACGCTCAGAGGGCTGGTGGGATTAGCTTGGCCAAAGCCCAAACCAAATGCAGCTGTGAATACCGCGGTCGTGAATGTCATTTGTGGTGGAGCTCCTTATGGGGGCATGGAGCGTCTGAGGGGTGTGCCAAAGTGGAATGGCGGTATGGCGGTGGCACGTCGGCGCTGCTTTTGGGGACTCTGCGCTGCGGTGCGCCCACAGCCTTGGACTTTCGAGTTCGCGGGAAACGAAACATTTGGAAGGGCCATCTTGGACGGTCTAGCTTTCCTCGTCTCCCCCCATCGAACACGTCACGGGCCGAGACACCCGCGCCGAACGCCGTATAGGAAGCTCCACCGAAGGCCCCCGAAGGGGTCCCAGCGACGCGCGCGGGTCGCTGCAATCCTCTCGGCGCGACCAGCGTGCGTCGCGGGAACTGCTGGACAATCGATGGGAAACGCTGCTCGGGCGGGCAAACCCCCCAGGTCAGGCCTCACAGATAAACTCGGTGAAGCCTTGCTCCCTGGCGAGGGCCGTCGCCTCCATCCTGCACCGTTCCGTGCGCGCCGCAAACGGCTCAATCTGCTTCGGCAAACATTCCGACGACTTGGGGCCTTCGGCCCAGCTCCCTACCGGGCCACGAACCGCGCGAGGGGTGTGCCGACATGGGCATGCGGTGGGCGGGGATGGCGCATGTGGACGGAGCCACTGGGGCCTTCGGTGGAGCTCCCTATGGGACCACGAGCCGTGTGAGGGGTGTGCCGACATGGGCATGCGGGGGGGTGGGTGGAGGGAGCGCATGTGGACGCTGCCGCTGGGGCGTTCGGTGGAACTCCTTTCTGGGGCCACGAACCGTGTGAGGGTTGTGCTGGAATGGGTATGCGGTGGGCGGAGAGGGCGCAAGTGGACGCTGCCGCTGGGGCCTTCGGTGGGGCTCCCTATGGGGCCACGAGCCGTGAAAGACGAATGCCGAAATTGGCACGCGGTGGGCGGGGAGGGCGCATGTGGACGTTGCAATTGGTGCTTTCGGTGGAGCTCTCTATGGGGCCGCGGGCCGTGAGAGGGGAATGCCGGAATGTGCATGCGGTGGGCGGGGAGGGCGCATGCGGACGTTGCCACCTGGGCGTTCGGTAGAGTTTCTAATAGGGGCCACGGACCCTGTGAGGCATGCGGTGGGTGGGGGGGAGGCGCATGTGGACGTTGCCACTGGGGCCTTCTGTGGGGCTCTCCTTGGGGCCACGAGCCGGGTGAGCGGTGTGCCGCCATTGGCATGCGGTGGGCGGGGGGGGCGCATGTGGACGTTGCCACTGGGGCATTCGGTGGGGCCCCCTATGAAGCCACGAGCCGTGTGAGCGTTGTGCCGAATTGGGCATGCGGTGTGCGGGGGGGGGGGGCGCATGTGGACGTTGCCATTGGGACCTTTTGTGGAGCTCCCTATGGGACAACGAACCGTGTGAGGGGTGTGCCGAAATTGGCATGCGGTGGGCGAGGATGGCGACTGTTGACGCTGCCATTGGAGCCTTCGTTGGAGCTCCCTATGGGGCCACGGACCGCGTGAGGGATGTGTCGACATCAGCATGCGGCGGGCGGGGACGGCGCATGTGGACGCTGCCGCTGGGGCCTTCGGTGGAGCACCCGTATGTGACAACGAACCGTGTGAAGGTTTTGCCGAAATGGCATGTTGTGTGCGGGGACGACGCATGTGGACGCTGTCACTGGGGCCTTCGGTGGAACTCCCTATGGGACAAAAAATGTGTGAGCGGCGTGCCGGCTTGGGCATGCGGTGGGCGGGGAAGGCGCATGTGGACGGAGCCACTGGGGCCTTCGTTGGAGCTCCCTATGGGGCCACGAGCCGTGTGAGGGGTTTGCCGAAAAGGGGCATGCGGTGGGCGGTGAGGGTGCATGTGGACGCTGCCGCTGGGGCCTTCGGTGGAGCACCCCTTATGTGCCCACTAACCGTGCGAGAGGTGTGCCGAGATCGGCATGGGAGGCGACAGGGGAGGGGACAGGGGAGGGGACAGCAGAGGCACGCATGGGAGGCGACAGGGGAGGGGAGGCGACAGGGGAGGGAAAAAGGAACGAACGCGGGGCGCTGTCGCTTCAAAGCGAGGACCCAACGCCACAGGATGGTTGGGAAGAAACTGAAATAATTGTTCGTGATGTTGTTGCACCTGGGGGCCTTTGACCATTCACTGCCGAAAAACGTTGCGTGCTCCCAAACATTGCATGTTCAATTTCACAGGGCGCCTCCAGGCTTGTTTTGCGCCGTTTGAGGGGCCTCTCGATTGGCCCCCTTTTCTCTTCCCTTCCGCCTTGGGCCCTCGGAGGAGGTGAACAAAAGTTGTAAGTAGTGGCCGAACGTGTTGCGCCCATTGCGGGGCGCTGTTTTTACCAGTCCCTTGGTGTCACAGCTTGTTCTGCTGCTTATGCCCTGCGCAGAGTTCAGTTGTTATGAAGAGATGGTACCATAATCGCGTGAATGGGAGCTGCAGAGGATGTCTGACACGGAGGTGAGGGCAGTTTCTCTTCCGCAGATCTTTTGGTTTGCCCCAACAAGAGTGAGGGCATCCTTCTTGGGGGAAGAGTCAGCTCGAGCTCTACATGTCTACTTCATCTGGTTCAAGCTGCACGCGCATTCGCAGCATATCAGCTTAAAGAAATTTGAGTTCTGATGGATGAGCGGTGTTGCGAATGCGCCTCGGTTCGTGATCGTCTTGTTTCTCAGCGCTCCATTCTCGAATGCCAGCTCACAGCCCAGCAGATCGACCGTGATGCGTCGTGACGTGTCAGTGTTCATTGGTCCTCAAGGCTCGCCTACATTTTCCACAGTGGAGGATGGCGACATCGACAGCAGCTCATCCACTCCTTCGCCAGTGCCTCCCAACGTGGAGGTGAAGCATGGAGCGGCGATAGAAACAACACTTCCAGATGAAAGCGCAATGAGCAGCGACATCCTCATCGACGTGCCCCAGGTGGTGGTAAGGCTGCAGCCTGGCTTATTTCGGCCTGGGGATGATGAACACCAACTTTTCCGGAACCCCGATGGTCCAGCAGTTTCCACATTCTTTCTGCACAGAAAGATTTGGGACAATCTTTGGCAATCGGATTCTGAAGAAAAGTGGGTTTCCACCATCCCCGGTCCGAAACAGGCCAGGTATCACCCTTACCCTGAGGTGGCCACAGAACGCATCGGGGAGCCGCTCTTCCAGTCCACGCCCACGATGGTTGTATTTCGCAGTGACGCATATTGCAAGGCCACTTACAGAACTACGTCACGGATTAGTCCAGAGACTTGCCTGGAGCATTGTATTCGGGACACGAAGTGCATGTTTGCAACATTCCATTGGAACCGCAAGTATTCTCCAGGTTTTTGTAGGTTCTCCAGTAGTTGTTCTTACCAGAGTGGGCGAGCACGAAAGATCTGGAAGAAGTCAGGTCCGACCCCGGCTCCGACCCCGTATCCGACCCCGGCTCCGACCCCGTTGTTACCCCGTCCGCTTAAGATGGCCAAAGCGAGCTTATCCAAAGCAAGAGCGGCTAGCAATTTGGCATCAGCTGCCAAGAGAGCTGCCGATGAGTCATTGAAGGAGCAGGCCGAGACTCTGAAGCGCGCCGAATCTGCGCAGAAGCTCGCAATGGAGGCCCACGAGATGGCGAAGGCCGCAGGGCGTGGGTCGCGAAAGGCTCTCACGGGCGCACGGTCAGCGAATGATGAGGCTGGTGAAGCGTTGAAGGAGGCTCAGCAAGCAGATGACAACGCAGAAAAGTTAGGGCATTTGGTCAAGGCGCAGAACCGCACCATGCATTCCCTGAATCACACCGTTGTTTCCTTGAACCTGACCATGCAAAAGGTATCCGCCATGCAGGTGGTGGACGAATCACTGCTCAACGCTACAAATCGCACCACAGAGCACTTGGGCAAAGTGCTTGACACCCAGAAGAAGACATTGACCACGTTGGGGCACATGCAGGAGGTGGACCACCACACCATGAATGCAGTGAACAGCACCATCCAGGCCATCCAGCTAGAGATGAGCAAAACGAAGAAGGACACCGAGAATCTGAAAGATGAGCAAAAGACCCAGAAGATTGTCAGCTATACGGCCATGGCGATTGCACTTCTGTATTGGATTGGTCAGAAGGTCGCCGGCTACATCGCTGTCCGCGCGGCGGCCAAGGCTAAGGACATGGCGTTTGCTTCGGTGCGGGTCCGAGCGATCATTCAGTTGACAGTTCGAGGCAACGACGGGTCTGCACTGTTTGGGCCTGAGGACCTCAGCGGCGGCACTCAGCTTCTGGAGGTGGTCGAGCGCATGCCACCACCGCCCGAGGGTGAGAGATGGGAGTTCGTGAGCTCAAACATCAGCCTGTCGTACGAGACACACGTCTACGAGATCGGCGATGGTACCGAGTTCACGCTAATGGCCGTATCAGTCTCTGTTGGCGACATGCCTGCCGATGCGTGACCGCATGATGCCCGTCGGCCACCAAACTCCTCAGCAGGTGTCAAGAATTGAGAACAGAGCCGTCCATTCGTCCTAGCATGGCGATCACCGATGATGTTGCTCAGCCCTCTGAGTACCTAAAGGCGGCCGCTTCTGCCGCCGAACCAAAGAAGACCACGGAGCAAAAGATGCTTTGGTGGAGGTGGGGATGGAGGTGTTTTCGACTTCCGTTGCAGCGGGCAAGGCGGGCCATAAGACCATCAGGTGCACCCAGGCCACAATGAGTTCCCCAGGGCGGCCCCCAGAGCTGCTCCGGCATCCCCAGGGGCGTCCCTCTAAGTATACATATAACGGGGGACCATGTCCAGGGGCCGGGGGCCGGGCCCCGACCGCAAATACGGGGCCCGGCGTGCCGAGAGCCCTGCCGGAACGCCGGGGGCCGTCCAAGATTGTCCGAAGATGGCTTCGGAACGCTCGAGAACGCGCTCCGATGGCTCCGGATGCCTGTCAAGACGACTCCCATGACGCCAAGAAGGCTCCCGAAGGCCCCGAAGACGCCCCAAGAGACACCCCGAGAGAGCCCCAATAAGCAAACATCGTAGATTTTCTAAGGGAAAACCTATGTTTTTGGCGTGTTGGCCTTTTGCGTTTCACTGCATCCCAGACGGCCCAAGAGGCACCCAAGCCGGTCGAGGATGCCCCCAAGAGGGCCCCAAGACGGCCCACGAGGGGGCCACGACGGCCCACGAGACGCCCAAACCGCCCAAGAACGCCCCAAGGCGGCGCCCAAGACGGGGACGAGGAACCGGAAATTCGCGCCTTTTGGCCCAAGAGACCCCCAGGAGACCTCAAGAGGCTCCAAGAAGCGCCCAACAAGCCCCAAGAGGCCCCCATGAGACTTGAAAAAACACCACCGAAGACGCCCCAAGAGGCACCCCAATAGAGCCCCAAATAAGTAAAAAACCGAGATTTTCTATCGGAAAACTGATATTTTTGGTGTGTTCGCCTTTTGGGCTTCCACTGCGTCCAAGACGGCCCAAGAGGCACCCAAGACGGTCGAGGATGCCCCCAAGAGGGCTCCAAGACGGCCCACGAGGGGGCCAAGACGGCCCACGAGACGCTCAAACCGCCTCAGAACGCCCTTCAGGAGCCCAAGAGGCCTTTCCGGGGAGCCTCCACAGCGCCCCAGGAGGGCCCAAGATGCCTCCCAGAAGCCCCCAGAACGCGAAAGGGTGGTCCGCAACGCTCCCAAGCAGCCCAAGTCAGCCTTCCGACGGCTCTCGAGGCTCCCAGGTGGCCTCCAAGAGACACCAAGAGAGGCGCGAGAGGCGTCCCGGGACGGCCCGAAGAGGCCAAAATCGTCGATTCACCATCGTTTTTTCAAATGTTTTTGGCTTCTCGCGTTTTCGAGCTTCCACTGGTCCAAGAGCGCCGAAAAGGCTCCCAAGACCGCCCCAAGACCACTCAGGAGACCCTCGGGACGGCCCCAAGACGAGCCAAGAAGGCTCCAAGACTGCCGAAGAGGCGCCCAGGACAGCCCCAGACCACCCCAGAGCTGTCCCAAAATGGACCCAAGAGCAGGCGCAGGAGGCTTCCAGAGACCTCCGAGAGGCCTCCGGGCCCCCCCAGAGGCCCCCAACACACCCCCGATCCCTGAGAGGCCCGAAAAGACCCCGACGAGGCTCCAAGAACAGCCCAAGAGAGCTGCGAGAGCCGTCTCGAGAGAGCCCAAAGAGCTTAAAATCGTTGATTTCCCATGGTTTTTCTAATGTTTCTCGTCTTCTGACGCTTTCCCGCTTCCAACCCTCGAAGATCGAGGATTTTTGTGGACAAAGGAATTCCAAGAATCCCATTTTTTTCCAAAGTGGGACTCCGACTCGGAGATCCCACGCATCCCATGACATCTGGCCGGCACCGCGCGCTTCCTGGGGGGTCCCCAAGACGCCCAAGGACAGCCCAAGCAAGACGACCCCCAGGAGCCCGACACGCTCCCGCGCAGCCCGAGACGCCTTCCGACGGCTCTCCAGGTCTCCAGGAGGCCTTCAGAACCCCCAGGGGATCCGGAAGATCCCACACCCCCGAGGGGCCCGGCTAACAAAACCTGCCAGGCACAAACAACAAACAGTACCGAACAGCGCCGAGGAATTTGAACAACAATGGAATCCCGCAATTTCTTTTTTTGTTTTGCAAGTTTGGCCCCCGGTCTACTCTTGCACAACAGACCACAATTCAGACCCCCTCACCTCCAAAACAAATACCAGGACATCTTTGAGGGCCCCAAATCGTTGAACATCTAAAGGAAATTCATGATTTCTGCGTTTCCGCACTTCCCCTTCTATACGATTCCGAGGCTTGCGCAGGGCCTCCAAGGGAGTCCTTGGACGCAAGAAGCGACCAACATGACATTGCATGAGTTGGCCGATCAAGCCTAGCTAGAACTTGAGCGCGCGCGAAGCGTGCGCGATGGTTCCAGTTCCAACGGAGTTTCAACAGAGCGTAGAAAGCTTGTGGACGGCTCCATCTGGCTTCCAGACAGTTCCAGTCAGCCCAAGATTGGTCCAAAATAGCTACCTGAGCAGAGCGTCGGATCTATTAGGTTCGAGGTGTCATTAGAGCAGCTTCCAAACGGCCGAACACGGCCCCCAAGACCGCCCACGAGCGCACGTTCCGTGGCCCCGTATGGGGGCTCCACCGAAGGCCCCAGTGGCAGGGTTCACATGCGGCTCCCCGCCCACCGCACGCCCATTTACGCACACCCCTCACGCTTCATGGCCCCAAAGAGCCTTCCACCGAAAGCGCCAGTGGCAGGGTTCGCATGCGGCTCCCCGCGCACCGCATGCCAATTTCGGAACACCTCTTTCACGATTCATGGCCCCATACAGGGGCTCCACCGAACGCCCCACCGGCATTGTTGAAAATAACGACCAGCACCTAGGAACGGACATTTCAGGATGCCCGTCGCTGCATTTTGTCGGAGCCGCTTGAAACATTTGCCGTCTCTACCATTATCATAATCATGTGTACGCGCATTTTGTCATCGCTTCGGTTCGGTTCCTGTCCGCCGCTGTTTGGGCCCCCCGCGTTTCTGGAGGTGCGCGCGTGCGTTGTGCATCCCCCCTCCCCCCTCATTGCAAAGCGTTGCGTGGCCCCCCCCGCCCACCCCTTGGGGCAAAGCTGAGTCGAAGCCAATCGACGGTGCTCGACGCAGTCAGCTTTGCATGGAGGGGGAGAGGGGCAGGAGGGAGGAGGGGGAACGGAGGAGGAGGGGCGGGAGACAGGGAGGTTCCGGACGATGAGCAGGATGAGGATGAGGCTAGCGAGGGTCTACGATGAGGAGGCGGAGGAGCGATGAGGACTAGAACCAGGTGGATGAGGATGATGATGTTGGTGAGTACGCGGATCTTGACGAAGACGATGTGTTACGATGATCGTGGTGATGTTGATTCCGATGATGATGGTGGTGATGATGGTGACGATGCTCATGCTGATGATGGGGGGTTCTTGAATTATAATCGTAGAACGTTTGAGGGCCGTGCGGTTGCGAGCTTGCGAATCTGTAGCCGCCACGGCTCAAGCCTTTTCTGTGGAGGCCTCAGGAGGCCTGCGCTCGGTGGCCCGCGCCTGCGCCCGGTGGCCCGCGGCGTGACGCTGGTCGCGTTCCACGCCTGCGCCGCTTGGCGGGGGCGCCTGTGGGGCGGCGCCCGCCGGCTGCCGCCCGCGCAGGCGGCCCCCGAGGCGCCGAGGCCGGCGCCCGTCCCTGCCTCGCGAGAGCGGGGCTGCCCGGCGGCCGCGCCGCCGCCCGTCGCGCAGGTCGAGGACCTCTGCGCGGCCTTGGCTCGGTGCGCGCCCGCCCCGGCCTTGACCATCTGGGACATCTGCCCAGACCCCTGCCCGGCTTTCCCCGAGCCGGGGGCGGTCGGGAGCCTTGAGACGGGGGTCAATGCAAACGGGGGTCAGCCACGGCGCCGGATCCTGCAGGATCCTGCAAAGACCCCCTCTGGCTGACCCGGGTTAGGGAGCCGTTCGTGGCCGCGAGGCGGCCGCGCCTATTGGCTGACCCAGGTTTGCGAGGACCTGCGTTGCAGTTTTTTTTCCTGCATTGCAGTTTTTGGTTTCTTGCTGACCCGGGTCTGGATTGACCCGGGTCAGAAGAGCCCCGAGGCGGGGGGATTGTCGTGGGGCAGCGAGCTGGGCTTCGGGCTGCTCGCGCTGCTGGTCTGGGAGGTCCTCACCATTTGCGTGGCCGCAGCCTGCGGCCTGGCGCGCCGCTTGACACGCGGCCTCTGGAGCGCCCTCCGGCCGCCTCGTCACGTGGAGGCTGCTCGGCCTGCACTGGAGGACGCCCCTGACCGACGTGTACCTCTGGGCCGCGGTCGTGTGCTGACACCCGATGAACATCGGCGATGCATTGCTGGTGGCGTACGCTGTGCCTGGGGGGCTGTGCTGCTTCATCGGCGCTTGGTGGTGCGCGTCAGCGCCGTTCAGCCGCTCCATGCGGCACTGGTCTCGCCAGATCACGACCTTTTCGTGGAGCATTTCACGCCGGACAACTCGGACATCGCAGCGTGGCACCGCTGTGGACCAGGAGGAGCCGTTCCTGCTGCAGCAGCTGGTCAGGCCATCTGCGACTCACAGCCCGCTCTCACGGCGCAGGAGTTCTTCGGTTTCACGCAGGAGTTTGACCGCTTCATCGCCGCCCACGACGCGCAGTTCGGTGCTGGAGGAACCGCGGCGGCGGCGGTGCCAGGAGTTCTTGCTGGTGGTGGCGGTGGCGGAGGTCTCGGAGTGGCTGGCGGACCTGGTGGAGGATTGGCTGCCCTCCTCGGTGGCGGCGGCGCGGCGGCTGCTGGCGGCGCCGGCGCCGTGGTACCCGCTGGCGCGGCACCCGCCGCGGCCGGCGGCGCTGTGGCGGGCGCGGCCCTGGCGCCCGCAGGCCCCCCCGCGGCGGGCCCTGCGGTCGGAGGCAGAGCGGCAGCCGCCGCTGGGCCCGCGGCGCCTGTCCCAGGGCAGGGCATGCTGGGCTCGCTGCGGCTCTCGCGGGCGCTGACGGAGGTGGAGCTGCTCCTGGGCCCGCAGCTGGCAGCGCGTCGGATGGCACCGACTGCCGTGCGCTAGCCGTCCTCTACGACGCGAATGGGCAGCGCCGCAGGTCGTTCGCCGACGCCGTCGCCATCATGTCGCCTTCGCAGTGGGCCGACT